ACAAAGGAAAATTTTTGTTGTTTAGACCTTTAAAAGGACTGCCTACACCTGGAACGGTGCGGTCATGTGGACTCCACCTGCATGTGGTGCTCTCGTGGCCAGTTCAATAAATCCTTGCCTGCATTTTTTAATCAGTCATCAGCCTCTGGTGGTCTTATTTTGACAGGCGGGGATACTAACCACTATACTAACGAGGAGCTGTTTGGTGGTCTTATTTTGAACCCAGGGTTCGACCCCACAACAGAAATGATCATGGAGGACCCACTGTCACAGTCATGAATAATTATACATGATGCCGAGTAGTGAAAAGTCACGCTTTGCTGGGCAAAGTATAAAATTAAGCCTACCTTCCTGGGCAATTTGACAATAGGTGATCACTTTTAGAAATTTTATATCCCTAACCTTTACAGAAATATTTCCTAAGGATATAATCAGAGATAAATACAAATATTTTTGCACAAGGATATGTGTTAAAATAATACTTATAAAAACGAAAACTTACAATTCATCCTACAATCCAATAACAAGAAATTTGTGAAATAAATTACAGTGCATCTATATGATATAATATTATATAGTTGTTAAATGCTCACAATATGATGTTATTTGAAAAATAAGGCAAACATATTTACAGCGTGATTCTGTTGATATTGTTAAACACATCCTTAGAAGGGCTTATGCAAAACTATTCAGATTATCTTTGGGTGATGGATTATAAGTAACTGTTTTGTTGTTTTCTATAGTTTTAAAATGCTCTACAATGTATTTGTATTACTTTAAAAATAAGTGATACTTATTATTTAAAACATCAGTCCTTAGATACCGTTTTATATTATTAATGTAGATTTAAAATGTTATAATCATGAAATAACCTTAGCCATGATCTTATACTCTTTTAATCAAGGGTATTTCTGAAATAATCTATAACTAATCCATAGAATGTAGGGTTGATGGACTCATCAATACCTTTCAATCACCCAAGTTGTTTGGCTCATGGCATTTTCATGATTTATCCAACAGGAAAACTCTGAGTTAGCCCAATGCACTAACCCTATTAGTGACAAGAAGATCCTGATAAGGATGGATGGAGAGGTGAAAATGAGGGCAAGTTTTGGGATCTACCTTCACTAGACCCATGTTCTTTGAGGGATTGGATATCTGATCTGATTTCATTTATGTCAGATCTTTGAACAAATGACTACACAGGTATGTTTGTGAGGGAAGGGGTTAAGTCTAGAAGCAGTGCTTGATTTTAAGATTTGTTTTGGAACCACTTATCTCTGGGGTTGCTGACAGCAATGAGCATTTTTTAAATACCTAAAGTAGACTGAAACCTGGTTATTTCTCTATCTTCATTCAGATGAATGTTTGAGTTAAAAAACAACCCAAACCAACACAAAACAGATCAAAGTTACTTTTAAATTTGTCATGCATCGGCACCAGGTGTGTGGCCTGTTCTAACTGCCAGGATGACCTAAGAAAGGTATTTATTTTGTAAAATAAAGTTCAAAAAGGCAAATACACCACTGACTAAAACCAAAAACACCCAGTAACTCCTGCAATTGGATGGTCAACAGGCATTGACATACATTCCTTATTTTGACCAGAAAAGGGTAAGAGTTATTCCCAAGGTTAAATAAAGGTCATCTCTCTCTGCCAACTGCCACTCGGGGGTGATGGAAAAGCAAAGGCGGAGGTGGGGTGACTGGAAATTTCACTTAAGAAACAAATGGCCCCAGTCTGTCTGTTCACTCCGGTCATTTCTGTTAGTTTTCCCATAATTGTGTTGGATCAGCAGTCAAGTAAAACGACAGATTCATCACTGACAGAATCTCTGTCCTGGCCGACCATTCTTTGATTTGTGTGTCTGTGTGGCCGGGGCCATTACTTCTCACTGCCTTTTGATCCTGCGGTGGGCCATCTATCTTTCACATATTAAACTTAATCTTCATGTTAGATGCCGATGGGGAATTTGATCTGGAGTGGCTATTGGACTAGTTTCACAAACGTTAGTCACTTCAAAAAAAAAATACCTTAAAAGACATCAAAATTTGAAAGTAGAAAGCAAATAATGATGGCTTTCTAGTAATGTAAGGTTGTTACAAGATCTCCAGTGATAATTCTGATTATTTGGGTTCTTCAATTATTCAACTCCTTAAAAGATGAAAAGTATACACCTTCCTTTCATTACATCTTCAAAACAATTGTAACACTTCTCATGATTTCAGATATGAGCCTTTGAACTTTTTTCATTCACCAACTATATGCTAGGTCAGTGGCTGGCAAACTCATTAGTCAACAGAGCCAAATATCATTAGTACAACGATTGAAATTTCTTTTGAGAGCCACATTAAAAAAAAAAAAAAAAAAAAAAAATATATATATATATATATATATATATATATATATATATATTATTGATTTTTTACAGAGAGAAAGAGAGAGGGATAGAGAGTTAGAAACATCGATGAGAGAGAATCATCGACCAGCTGCCTCTTGCACACCCCCCACTGGGGATGTGCCCACAACTAAGGCACATGCCCTTGACCGGAATCGAACCTGGGACCTTTCAGTTCGAAGGCCGATGCTCTATCCACTGAGCCAAACCAGTTTCAGCGAGAGCCACATTTTTTTAAACTTACACTTCTTCAAAATAAGACTCGTCCAGGCCGTGGTATTTTGTGGAAGAGCCACACTCAAGGGGCCAAAGATCTGCATGTGGTTTGCCGACCACTATACTAGGTCCTCTGTGTTAGGAGCCAAGGGCCAAGGATGACTCAGGGAAACAGAACTAATACGATCTATAAAGATAGATGAGAGATTTATCAAGGATTTACTGTGGATCGAGCCCATAACCCTGGCAATGTGCCCTGACTGGGGATCAAACCTTGACCTCCTGGTTCATGCGTCAACACTGAACCACTGAGCTATGCCGGCTGGGCATCCCATACGATTTTTATCTATAAAAGATGTTTGCTGTACTAATTATTTAAAATTGGGGGAGGCAGACAACCAAAGTGGCCAGTGTAAGGGAACGATCTGAAGTATGGTAGCAATCATACTTAGGTAAAAACTGCTGTTTGAATTTTAACCCTGATATTCTGGCTTTGGCACTCGCTTACTTGCTTAAACAATAGGGTAGTTGCCTCAACTTCCAGATTGAGACCTGGAGGCTAAGGTAATTTTCTTGTGCCTGTGGACCAAGACCACAGGAGATTGATTCCCAGTGACTCAGATAGCTTCAGGAGTAGAAACTGTAGATAACCTTTAGAGATTAACCGCTCAGCTCTGCTTCTGTACTATCTGCTATCGCAAGATAGGGCCACATTCCAACATCCAGCAGGATGTGGCTGGGAACGACCCTTCGGGCTGTTCTGTTCCCAGCCCTTAGAATTTAGAATTCAGAACAAAGGAACATTTTTGTTGTTTAGACCTTAAAAGGATTGCCTACACCTGGAATGGTGCGGTTGGGAATGTGGCTGCCTGCGTATGGTGCTCTTGCGGCCATCTTGGCCAGTTCCATAAATCCTTGCCTGCTTTTTTTAATCAATCATCAGCTTCCAGTGGTCTTATTCTGAACCCAGAATTCAACCCCATGACAGATCATCTTTCTTCTGCTGTTTCTGCCTCAGTGACTGAAACCCCCTGCCTTCCTGGGGAAGACACCTCAGCCACTCTCTCCATCCCACACTCCTTATCCTCAAGGGAGATGTGATTTATCAGACAGTGAGAATGGGCACAGGTGACTGGCTGCACACCGAGTTGCCTGCTATCTGCCCCGACCTCCAAGGTTGCAGCCCACCCACCACAATGTCTGTGCATGGCACTGGTTGGGTGAAGTCTCTAGATCTGCAGGCCCAGCCTCCTCATACCAGATTTAGGGAGGAGAGCCTGGTTTTGGCTTCCAGAACATGCCCATCCATGGTGCATTAACTGAGAAACCAGTCAGAGGGTTGGATGGGGCCTCAGCAGCTGACACAGGTTGACTCAGCTGCTCCTGATATTTGGGAGCCAGATAAATAGGATTTATAACTCGTGGGGCCACCCTGGCTGACTAGGGTGCAATGCGACGTCTGAGTCACTGTGCGTCTTGGGCTGCGTCATCCAGCCCTGGCCACGTGACTCTCTGTGACTACAATCTGTGAAAGCAAAGCTTGGGTGCTACTGCTGCACTAGCCCGAGACAGACATTTTATTATTGGAGAGTGTTATGCAAAGTGCTGAGGTCCCAGAAAACCAGCTCCCTCCCACCCGAAAGTCAGTGCTCCGGCTGCTTCACAGCTCATTCTGCCAGCCATTCTTTCTATGACTGGCTCCTGTTTTTGCCAATCAAATCTCAGCCTCATCTGCCTCTAACTGAGCAGCCTACTTGAACACATCTAAAGCAGTCACTTTATAAAATTTGTACTATCTTAATTCTCTACACAACACTCATTTCCTTATTTGCTTGGTGTGTTTCCACCTGCCTCTAAAATGTAGGCTCTTTCATAATCTCATTGCAACATCCCGTCTGATAAATACCTGGTCCATATGAGTATTCAATAAATAAATATCTGCATCTGAGACATGAATCTGATGGCAAGGACACACAGTAGGTGAACTCTTCCCCCAAACTGGAGTCTGAGTTTTGGGTCTCAAGAATAAACAGTGAGAAAGACACAGCTGCTCTCTGCAGTCAAATGCTCTACCACTGAGCTTTACCCCCCCACAGTTGCTCTCTGGAAATGACAACATGAATGATTCTCTGGAGGGACCTCCTGCTTCTACGGATACTTATTTGGTAAAAATGCCTGCTCTATGGTAATGATCAATGTTTTATTTATTCTGTCCATCAGTAACTAATATTGAAGAACTTTTACAATATTAATGGAGGTCAATCTAAGAGAAGTTCAACTTATGTTTTTCAAAATATTTTAATACTGGGTAATAAGAGAAATGATTATGGTCAAAATTATTATGCCAAAACCTGCAGTAAATGTTTGATGGTAGTGTACATACAACTCAGTTTTTGGTGTAAGATTCTTTGGTAGTCAGAAAGAACATCTGATTTACTTCGCTAATAGGAATATCTCTTAATGCTGGGATGGCCTCTTCCTGGTATTTCTTCTGCTGCTGGTTTTTAGCATAGTTATCTGCAAGAGGACAAAAGGCTATGATTACCCAGTGAGTTCTACTGTCATTATGGAGACCCAGTACATCATTTACTAGGCTAATGCTTGGATAATGACAAATACGTTTAAACGTCATTAAAGGATTACTTGAAAGCTCTCTTTAGAAGAAATGTCCCAATTAGACTAGAAATTAGCAAAGTACTTTTACTAGAGGCTCGGTGCACAAAATACATGCACCAGAGGCAGGGGGTGGGGAGGGGGGAATCCCTCAGCCCGGTCTGTATCCTCTTGCAGTCTGGGCCTAAGCCGGCAGTGAGACATCCCTCTCACGGTTGGGACCCCTTGCTCCTTAACGCTGCTGTGGAGGCAGGAAGGCTCCTGCCACTGCCACTGCACTCATCAGCCATGAGCCCAGCTTCTGGCTAAACAGAGCTCCCCCCTGAGGGAGTGCACTGACCACCAGGGGACAACTCCTGCATTGAGTGCCTACTCCCTGGTGGTCAGTGCATGTCATATCGACAGTTTGTTCTGGTTGTTCCACTGTAACAGTCACATAGACTTTTATTATATAGACAAGTGGCCTGGTGTATGAAATTCATGCAAAGGGGGTGGGTATCCCTAAGCTTGGCCTGTACCTTCTCCAATCCGTGATCCCTTGGGGGATGTCCAATTGCCTCTTGCAATCCAGGACCTCTGGCTCCTAACTGCTTGTCTGTCTGTTTGCCTGCCTGATCATCCTAACCACCTCTGCCTGTCTGCCTGATCGCCCCTAACTGCTCCTCTGATGGCCTGACCACTCCTAACCGCCTCTGCCTCACCCTGCACCTGGGACCCAGGATTCCCTCCTCCAGCCAGTCACTGGCATTGGGGACCCGGGCTTCCCTCCCTATGGCCAGCCTCACCTGGGCCAGACGCAGCCACAGGGGACCATGGGTGGGTGGCTTAGCCTGGGCCGCAGCCCCAGGCGCTGGCTCCTGGGACCAGAGGGCATGCAGCTTGTCCCTTCCTGGGCCGCAACTTGGCTTGTCCCCTTTCCTCTCTCATGAGCTCATTTGTGCCTCGCTGGTCCCCATTCTTCTCTCCCCAGTGTTGAGTGTCTGAGCCTTACTGAGGATGGCATGAGGGTGTAATGATCATGTGCATATTAGCTCTTTATTATATAGGATTGATTTCAAAGAGGAAGGGAAAGGGAGTGATATAGAAACATCAATGATGAGAGAATCATCGATCGGCTGCCCCCTGCATACCCCCTATTGGGGATTAAGCCTGCAACCTAGGCATGTGTTCTTGACCGAAATCAAACCCAGGACCTTTCAGTCTGAAGTCTGCGTTCTATCCACTGATCCAAACCAGCTAGGGTTAGCAAAGTACATTTTTATGTTACTAACTTGGATAAGAAAGTAATATTTCATTCATCAGTACAATGATGTGTTAAAGTCCCATTTGCACATTTCTCATAGGAACATAATCCTATTCAGGCTGACAGACTATTTAAATCATCTAAAAACTATTATGTTATTTGGTACAATCATTCATATAAACTCAACACTTTCCCCTTCTGCACAAGTTGTCTTTTTGCCGTGATTCAGTCAAGAGGATAGAAGGTACCAGAAAAGAAGTGTCTTGGTCGATTCCTGGTCAGGTTGTGGGCTCGATCCCTACCCAGTGTGGGGCATGCAGGAAGCAACCAATCAATAATTCTCTCTCATCACTGCTGTTTCTATCTCTCTCACTCTTTACCTTCCTCTCTGAAATAAATAGAAAGATATTTTAAAAAATAAATATAAAAGCTATAACTTCCCTAGCTAGCTTGGCTCAGTGATTCTGGTCAAGGGCACATGCCTGGGTTGTGGGCTCAATCCCCAAGGTGGGGCGTGCAGAAGGCAGCCAATCAATGATTCCCTCTCATCACTGATGTTTCTATTTATTCTTCTCTCTTCCTCTCTGAAATCAATATAAATACATATTTTAAAAAACCCCACTATAACTGATTTGCAGAATACAATGTATAGGCTCATACGCACACACAAAGGCTTTAAAAGTTAAAAAATTCATACCTGGAAACTTAAAAAGTACTTTACTTTGTAGAATCTAAGCAAGCTTAGGAGTCTCCTATTTTAATCATTAGATTTGAAAAAAAAAACTTAAAAAGAAATAAAACTGCAAAAAATATGCTAAGGCTTGTCTACCCCTTACTGGAGTCAGGTGTACACAGAGATTCTGAGGACCCCGTCCCTCCAAAATCCCTCCTCCTGGACAAGCTCTGCATGGGCCTGCGTGCACCCCATTAACACTGCCTGTTGAGGAGAAAGGAAGTTCCTGTCAGGGAAGCTCTCGAGGAACATATAATAGACTTGTGGTTTTTGTGGGCAAATGCACCTGTTGACTAGAGTACGAACAGGGTATTCATCAGAACTTACTTCCCACGCAAACCTGCCTCTGGTATAACTCTGCATTACGTCTCCCAGGTTGGTATTCAAGGTGTCATTTTTGCAGCCTGTTCTTGGTTGCTTTTCTCAATAAAAGCACTAAGAGCCCACTCCTCCGCCCCCCAGCACCGCCCCTTGGTATAACTTACCTGTGACTGTATGAATGGAGTTGAGTGGCGAGGTGCTCATCATGTTTAATCCAAATAAGAGGACATACCCGATGACTATGGTAATGAGGAGGTAGACGGGCAGTGCGACTGCCCAGTACCTGCAGAGGAGAAAATTCAGTGGGTAACAGGCTTTCCCCAAAGCCATACTTCTTGTTTCAAAGTGATTTTCTTCTGTTCCTTCCGTTAGCTCCCTTTCCTTCAAGTTCCTTTTCTTTCTTCTTTCTTTCTTTCTTTCTTTCTTTCTTTCTTTCTTTCTTTCTTTCGTATTTCATTTTAGAGGCTTTTATAAAATGATAAGTTATGTTTGTCCACTGACATTTAAAAATGAAGTACTAACAAGGTTATTGGAAGCCCCGTGTATATGTGGGCCAGGATGGCGAATTGGCAAGTCTCACTGTAGAAGACCCAGCCATTTCACCGGGGGACCGCCAAATGTCAGAGATTGCAGATGCTTTCCTTGGGGAGGAGCCTCCTGTTTTGCTGGGAGGAGAGGGCGGTATAGGCCTGGCAGCCACAAGCCTGGGAGCGTAGTGAGGAAAGGTGCTTGGGGACATCTATTAGTCAGCAATGCAGGGTTCCATCCTCCTCCTGTCTTCAGTGAGGGGCCTCATCCCCAGGATCAGACTTCAAGTCTACAGATTCTTACTCAACGTTCCAGAGAGTAAAACTGTCTTCTGCAGAGGAGACAGGGCCAGTCTCCCTGCCTTAAGGGAAAAGGAGGAGATTTGGGGGTATTGTGCTCCTTAAACACCGTTTTCAGTTCAATCCAGAATGACCACGTTAAAGAGGTATCTGTACGTCCCATTTCTAGCCTTTCTGGAATTCTAAGGCACAGATATTCTTGCTGGCTTCACTGCTTCAGCAATGTGAAATAGTGCAAACCACCTCAATTACCTCTCATCTATGTACAACGCTAAAATTTTGTTGGTACTTCTTACTTGCTATCCCATTATTTGTTACCTTTAAAAAACCTATTTTTTCCCTACAGAGTTACTTCAGCAAGGTGTTGGAAGGACATGCAAACAAACATGCATTTAACACGTCCTTTTTAATTGAGATACATCTACAATGACCTTTAAAAAGCTTCACATTTCTGTTTGGCTTAAAAGGGTACTTAAGGTTTGAGTAGTCTTAACAAAAAATCTGACCCTTCAAAACAGCATTAATATACTCTTATTTTACTTAAGCAACATATTAAACTTACTTTTGAGGCCAATAGGTCAAGCTTAAGGCGTTCAGCCAAGACTCGGGAACGAAGGCCCACACGAGATACAGGACTGTAAGGAGGGGAGAAAAGGCCAGTGAGCTTGCATCTCATCCTCCACAGGTCACATGAAGCATAAAGCTCCCGAAAAGCTGCCCTGACTCGCTCGGAAATGACTGTTCCTTCCCTCCATCCTCCTAGCTCCTTATTGCACCACTCTTGCTCTCACAATTACCTCATCTCTTTTCATTGTGATAAAAAAGTGACAGAAGCCCCGCTGGTGTGGTTCAGTGGTTGAACGTTGACCTATGAACCAGGTCAGGGTTCGATTCCCGGTGGGAGCACAGATTCTCCGACAAGAGGGGCACCCACAGGCAGCACTGTGAAGTTCACCCAGCGTCTGGGTTCACAGTCTAGTTGTTTTTTACGGACGGTGCGTGTTAGTATTCTCATCAGTAAAAGGAGGGTAGTAACAACAACATCCACCCCACAGGGTTGTCTTGAGAATGATAAGCACTGAATAAACACTGTCCCCAGCTTCTTTACACCCGGGGAACCCGAAGGCTCAAAGAAGTAAATGGTCTCAGACCACACAGCTAATCCGTGGAAGAGCCACACTCTGAACCAAAGTTATAACTTCACTGCACAGACTTCTCTACCCAACAGCTTGGCTGATGCATTAAGGTTCACATTCCCCACCTTCCTAGTTTCCACAAAATTCCAAAAAGTTGGACGATGGGTACCCAGTTCTCTCCCTCTTGTCCCCTCATAATTCTCAACTCCTTCAGGGGAGAGCTGTGGGCCTGGTGTGTGTGGGACGTGTCTCCATGAGCATCAGTTTCTTTTACCTGTGCAATGGGGTCTTACAGGGACGGAGTGAGAGCCAGGCTATGAATGCACCTGACCTCTCCAGCCTCCTGCCTTCCCCTCACTCCCCAGCTGCCCCAGCAGCACAGGAGCCGCGTCCAAGGCCTCATCCCGGGCCTCCCCACTTTCCTCCTCCTTACTGTTGGGAAGAAAGCGAACTGACTCCTAGTCCAGTGGTCGGCAAACCGCGGCTTGAGAGCACATGCGGCCCCTTGAGTGTGGCTCTTCCACAAAACACCACGGCCTGGGCGAGTCTATCTTGAAGAAGTGGCGTTAGAAGAAGTTTAAAAAATGTGGCTCTCCAAAGAAATGTCAATCGTTCTACTGTTGGTATTTGGCTCTGTGGACTAAAGAGTTTGTCGACCCCTGTCTTAGTCTGTTTCATGTCTCTCCCTGGACTCCTATGGCACTTCCCACCCTGAGTGTTAAGTGTCCATGGCTTGTCTTGTCCATGAGACCATGACCACAGGCCCCAGGTTCTGTTCCCTGTGCAGTCCTACCTGATGCTGCATAAACAGCGGCTGAGATTAAACCTTTCGGGCTCCTACCTGGCTGATAGAACCCTCCGAGCACACACGAGCCCCCTCCAGGTTTTCTGAGAGAGAGGCATAGGCAGAAAGAATCACAGCTCCTGCGAGCACCCTAACAGCCAAGGCCGTCATTTCCTTGTCCTTGAACACCAGGGGAAGGCCGTGCGTGGCCATCCATCCACCGGGAAAACGTACTTACTGAAGCCAAACTGGGAGCTTAAGAAAAGAACAAAGCCATAAATGGCTCTTTCTGGCAATGGCGACGGTGAATTTTCCACCATTTTTCCCTTTGAGAAGATCTGTGGGGAGGAAACACAATCACCGTTAGGGGTGTGCTCCCCTCATTGGTCTGCGATACCCTCATCGCTCTGCCGCGGGCGCAGCCTCTGCAGGGTTTGTTTTTCCGGCTCCCGCGGCGGCGAACGGCGGCCTGCGCACACCCCCGGCGCCCGCCCGCGCCCGCCCGCGCCCGCCCGCGCCCGCCCGCGCCCGCCCGCGCCCGCCCGCGCCCGCCCGCGCCGGACCTGCCGCGCACGGCGCTCCAAATCTCGCGGGCACACGCGCGCACACGCCGGCGCGCGCCCGCCCGCAGCGGAGCCCGGGGGAGGGCGGGAAGGCGGGGTGAGAGGGCGGGAGGGAAGACGCCCCCGCCGGCTGCAGACTTCGCCTCTCCGCGGACGGGGAAGGAGAGCTGCGCCGGGCGCGGCCTCCCCGGGCCTGGGCCGCGGCGCCCGGGGCCGAGCACCCGCCTCGGAGGGAGCGGCGGGAAGGCCAGCGACTGTCTCACGTACGAGGGGTCCAGGGGGTCCTCGACTTTGACTCCTTCGGGCGCCCACTCGGGCCCCTCCCAGCAGCTGGGCCTCTCGGCGAGGAGTCTCCTGCGCAAGCGCCGGCCCGGCCGTCGCAGAGGCGAGAGAGGAGAAGCCGAGCGAGGAGCCGAGGGGCGACGGCGCCCCCCGCCCGGGCGCAGGCGCGGCGCGAGCCTGGTCCGGCCGGGCCTCGCGAGCGCGGGGTCCCGCGGGATCGCACGCTCGCCGCCGCCGCCGCGGAGGAGGGGGCGTGGCGTGGCGGCTGCGCACGCGCAGTGCTGCCCACGTGATGTTCAGCCGCCCGTGCTGCTGCCAGCTGCCGCTCCTGGCTGACGTGGAGGGCCGCAGGCGGCAGCGGCTGCGGCGGCGGCCCTCCTTCGAGACTGGTGGTCGGCGGTCCCGTCACGCGGGGCGCGGCAAGGCCGCCGGATGTCTCACCGTGTCGCAGAGCGGCCGAGATGCCCGCTACGCATCGCCGTGGGTGTGTGGTGAGTGTGGGTGCGCGCGCGCCGCTCGCTGAGGTGCCCGCGGCGGCGTGTCTGCGCGGGAGGATGGGGCGCGGGGGAGGATGAGGTGCGTGGGATGCGGGGGCGCGGGGGGTGTGGCCGCCTCGGTCGGCCCCAGTGGGTGCGAACCTTTTGTCTGGCGCCCCCCCCTGCTCCCCGCGGTATTTGTGTGAGGGGAGGAGCAGCCCCTTTGTGTGCGCCTCCCTGGGCCGCCCGCGCCCCCTCGTCCGGAGCGAGGCGCCCCTCCGGCCGGAGCGCGCAGGCACGCGCCCCTGCGTCGCCTCCAGCCCTTTGGTGGCGGGCGAGTTCTCCCCAGGGCCGGCGTGGCGCCCCCGGCCGGTTGGGTGACCCCGCTCTGTGTCACTGCCCCTCGGGGGAGCGGGGTGCGCGTCCCCCGCGCGCGTGGCCGCGCTTCTTGCGGTCGCGACCCCCCTCGGCCTGCAGCATCCCTCGCCCGGGGGTGCGTTCTCGTGTGTCTCGTGTGCGCCTGGGTCCCCTGGAGTGCGTGTCCGTGTGCGGGTGTTCGGGAACGTTCGTGCACGCCTCGTCCGCGTCCTGTGCTTCCTGTGTCTGCGACACCTGTTTTTCTGTCCGGGCCGGCCCCTCCCGTCCCCGTGGAGGGGCCCGGGGCGGAGGGGCTGAGCCCCGAGCCCTCCCCTCTCTGACGCCACCGCGGAGCATCCTCCGCCCCCCGGCCAGTGGGGAGGGGGCTGAGCGGGGCCCGCCAGCCGCTGCGCGGTGCTGACGCCATCTCCTGCGTGGAGCCAGCCCTGCAGGAGGGGGGCGGGCGACCCAAACTGAGCGGAGGCGTGGGTGCCTTTTCCAGAGGCGCCCTACCCCCCCCCCCCCAAAAAAAAAAGACCTTCTATTGCAGACTTTTTCCAATATTTGCAAAACCAATAACATTTTAGCCTACCCTGGCATTCTCCATAATGCTTAACGGTTCACGCAGTGTTTTATGGCGTTCACAGAAATCCTCTCTTCTTTCTGCCCAACTTTTAAGACTTTACTCCTCCTCCTCCTCTGGGAGCAGTTTTCTCATTGTTACAGCTCTAGCTAGGTCTTTTTTTTTTAATTATTATTACAAGAAATTTGCATTTTTATTTTAAGGGAAATGGCATTTATTAATTAGGTATAAGGATATGCAGAGAAAGAAACTTAAAAACCCATTAGGGACCCAACTATTCTTGTGCAAAGGTTCCTGCTCTCCGCTCAAGGGCTGCGTTTTGGTGTTCATTTGCTCGATTGTCTTATTCTTGCCTAATTTTCCTTTTTTTTTTTCCTTTCTAACTTATGGTATATTTCATATATGCAATTCTAAGGGGGGGTCTAACCAATCCATGACTCAGATTTACAGATGTAAAAAATTTACTCTAGATCCGTGGGTTTTTTTTTAATAAATAAAATTGGAGGTATTGGAGATGGTTTCATTTCCTCTCCTTCCTTCTGTAGAGATAGCCACCGTGTTTAGGTTTGTGAACATCATTCCTTTGCATATTTTAGTAGTATACTTGGATCACGGTGAATCCATAAGCAATAATATAATGTGTTTTTAAACTTCAATGATATGAAAAATATGTATCTTTTTGCAACTTGCTTTTTATCAATCAGCATTACCTTTTGATATTTATAAACAGACAAATTGGAAATTTGAGTTATCTTTGTTCATTTTAATTGCTGGTATGCAAAACCATTGTATGAATATACCATTATTTATCCATTTCTCTGGTGATGGACTTTTGAGGTGGTTTCTGGTTTTTTACCCTAAAAGCAAACCCACAATAAACAGCTTTGTACTTCTATGCTTGTGCACACATCTGGAAATTTCTCCGGGAAATACACCCAGTCCTTTGCTGGATAGGAGTGATATGTGCATCTTCAGCTTAACCAAAAATCACAGAAGCTCTCAAAATGGTGGTTCTAATTGTGACTCTCCCTGGTATTGAGTGAGGATGCTCATTTTCGCACATCATTGCTTTGCTAACTTTTACATTTTTGCCTTCTCTTTAATGACCAGCTGCCTTATAACTTGAGCTTGCGGCTAAATTTGGCTTCTGCTCTAGCCGGGTTTATCTCAAGCAGCTAACTGGCTCAGCCTTCATCTAATTTGTCCTCATAAGATTAATTGCAATAAACATTTACTCTGTACCTAAGGTATGTCAGTTCCTATGGTTGATATAAAGCTAATAATTTTCATCTTGTACCCCTCTAGTGGCAGGTGAGGTGATTTAATTACTTTTTTTTATATGAATTGTCTTTAAAAACCTTTGTTTTCTTTATTTAATGTCATATTTAATACATTCAGAATATATATAACTTATTTAGGTTGTGAAGCAAAATAATAAAATGAACACCTATTAATCTACCACTATTCCAAAAACACACACAAAATAACCTGTATTGAATGTGCTCACCTCCACAGTGACTTCTGAATTGTATCATTCATTGCTTCTTAAAAAATAATTTTATCAGAGATGTATACATCTCTCAACAGGGTATGGTATTGGTTGTTTTTGAGTTAAAAAAAGAAAAGAATATTGGATACAGTTTTCTTGAGCTTGCTTATTTCTCTCGAAACCAAGTACAGATTTAAATGACCAATTTTCTTTGCTGTGTAATATTCCATGGGTGAATTTAACACAGTATATTCATTCTTCTGTTAATGGGCATTTTGCTTTTAGGTTTTCTATTAATGAAGGTTCTTGTACGTACATTCTAGTACACAGTTGCAAGAATTTCCCTAATTTTCACTCTGGGTATATGCTCCCCAGGGAATGATGATTTTCTAGGGAGGATTTGGACACAAGTGATGTTTATGAATCAACTTCTAAGTCAAGTTTCATATGGACTCTCCTGAACTTGGTAATGCCTAAGGCTTATCACAGTGGCCTCCTTCTGATTCTATAATAGTTTCCCCCTTTTCTTTTTACAATACCACTCACCCACATGGAATCTGCCTAGGGCATTACCCCAAGTGGGAAAATTCCACCCGGGGGAAAAAAAGGATAATTTAAAATACAGTGTTTAGTGTTAGGGAAAGCCTCTTTCAATGCAGGCACTTTCCATCTCCTTAAGAGTTGCATTCCAAAAAAAACAACTTTTTATGTGTAATTGTCACTGAATATAGTTAGTATTTTTATTAACTGCTGCATTAATTATAACAATTTAAACCAGTGATGTCACTTTTATTCTAAAATGTCACTGATACTCCAAAAATTTATCCTTTGCAGTTATTTAAGTTTAGGCAAAAAATTTTCATTGTCTTCTTAAACTATGCAGAGTATGTAATTTTTAAAAGCATTTTGATGGTTTGTGAGTAAAAAGTGATAAGCTATCTGGTAGAAGTGAATTGTGGGTTATGGGTCATGAATATTGGACTTGACAAGGTGATACCAAATTGTTTTCTGAAGTGGTTGTACTACCTTATGCTTTGGCCAGCAGTTTGTCAAATTATATATACTTTGCTTAGCAATGTGTAAGAGTTCTAATGGATCTATATCCTCTGCAACACTTGTTATCATCAGTCTTCTTAATATTTGCCAATCAAATGGGATGAAGTGATGTAACATTGTGGTTTTAATTTCTATTTCTTTGATTGTTGATGAATTTTCTTTCCATGTTTACAAACCTCTGTTTTCCTTTTGTGAAATACTAGGCATATTTTTTACTCATTTTCTATTGGGTTGACTGTTAAAACTAATATACTGTAACTTTGATCCTATATTGATTATATGTACTGTAAATATCTTCTGTGACTTATTTTTTAACTCTTGATGTTTTTGCTTTGGTGAACAGAAGTTCTTAATTTTAATGTAGTCTAATTGGAAACTTTCCATAGCCCTGGGCTTGTAGAGGCACTCCTGGGTTCCTTTTTAGAAGTTTTAAAATTATGCCTCTCACATTTAACTTCATGATCCATCCTGTACTGACTTCTGTGTGTGGTGTGAGGTAGTGATGCTCATTCCACCCTTCTCGCCCCCATGTGGCTCCAGTTGTCCTCTGATCATCTATTGAAGCGATTGTCTGTTCACCAGTGATACCCTGAACCCCTCTTTTTCATGTTTATTCACTACATGCATGGCTTTGTTTCTGGCTAAGCTTTCTGTGCCACTTGTCCGCTTGTCTATCTCTGTGTTGATACCACTATCTTAATTTTTAATGCTAGGGTTTAACCAGAAATCTTTATAATTGGGGGAAAGGGGTACTTGAATCTCAGCTGTTGGTCTTTGTTCTTGTTTTAAGAATCAGTTTGTATGTGACATGAAAAATTCTTTGGGAATGAATTGGAATTAAGTTTGGAGAATTGAAACCTTCCTGTCTGAGAACGTGGTATTTCTATGTATTTATATTTTAAATATCTTTTAATGGTGTTTTGTAATTTTCTCCATACATATCTAACCATTTTTAAATGTTGATTTCGATGTTTCTATTAGGGTTTTTTGCTACTATAAACTTTTTTTTAAAGATTCTGTTTTCTGTTTATTGTTGGTAAATGGAAATTTAATGGATTTTAAAATATTGATCTTTAGTCATCCATTTGATAAACTTTCTAATATTTTCTGTAATTTTGTGTTTCTATGTGGATAATTATTTACAAATAACTCTTTGGGTTCTTTTAGTTTTCCCTTTTACTTATTTTTCTTGTCTTAATATGCTGGCAAGCTTTTAGATCTAGGTTTAGTGGAAGCTTATTTTTCTAGTGGAAATATGTTGTGATCCTCTCCATGTCTAATGTTTTGTCTATCCCACCTTTCTTTTGGTAATAATTTACAGAATTATCCTTTTCCTTTGTTTTACTGTCACTTAAAATTTTTTTTATATTTTATGTCTCTCTTATAAAGAACATAGTTCTGGATTTCTCTTTTAATTCATTGAGACCATGTCTTTGGTATTTTCTAAGAAGTTAGTTCAATCTCTTGGAGTCAACTCTGGGATATCTTGGTTAAATCCATTTTTTTTCATCTAAAATTACTTTCATTTAC